ATAGCAGTAATTGCTGCCACAGCGTTCCTATAATCCGCTTAGTTCCCTTCACCAGAGACGCCCCTGGGGTCGGCAAGAGACAGAAAAGGAGTGGTACCAGTCCCCAAAATCCATACGTCTCTACCACCGGTTCCTCCTGAGCCCAGGCAATAAGGGGAAGCGCGAAGAGAGTAATGGATAGAGACAGTCTCAATGGATGTACCAGCCTTTGCCTGAGGGTCATATTGCCAAATGCCCAGAAAGGTAAATGCCACCAATGGATCCAATACGCCTTGCATTCAGATAGATACCGACACAGACGACCCCACCAGTTGTACTGAAAATAACAAACAATCATTAAAACTACACTAACTACGGCCAACCTACCCCATTAGTCTTCTCTGGAAGGCTCATCTCATATTCCCTCACCAGCGTGTGGAACTCGTCAGCCAATACCGCAAAATGCGCAATCAGTGAGAACGCGAACTGGAAGCGTACAATGTCGTTGGCCGGGGACAAGGCGGATTCCCCCGATACGACAGCTTTACTATACAACAATGACTCATCCGTCAACCTTCCCTGAACTTGCTCCGACAACCCACGCAGTTGAGTCCTATCTATATCATCCCCTGGCCTCAACGGCACTGCAGTTTGCCTCAGCCAATACACCACTTCCAGCCTCAAATCGACCAAGTCTGGGACCATAGGATGCCAAATATACCGGAGTATGCTCGGGCTGTATGAGCCATCTCTCAGGGTCTGTCTTAGTGCTATCAATTCTGATGACATTTGGTAAATTATACTCCGAATTTTCGGGTTAGGGGCCGACTTAGCCGCACGACGCCAAGCCATATCAAAATGAGCTCTCCGGCGATCGATGAAGTTGAGATGATCCGTCCCACTGTTGACATAAGTAGCCAACGTCTCAAAATAGTCAGCAGCAGCTCTCGCGAACGCTGGTATGGCCGGCACGGTGGACCTAGGCAATAGGTTGAACGCATTCAAAACAGTTGTTGCAATGATGGTCTCAGCAGAGCCCACCGCGAACGCCCCCGAAGTGAGCAGACCGTGATAGAAGGGTTGACCGTTGGGGAATGCCAAGGGGATGTACATGCACTCCATCGCCACATCCGATCTAAACAACTTGCACAGTTTACTACCGCTAGCAGGGTCGCCTATGGCCAGCAGGAACGTTAGTGG